TAGAAATAAATAAATAAGATTTTTTTACCAATAGCTTTTTTAGTTTAATAATAATTTTTTAATAAAAACAAAAGATATTAATTGATTAAAAAATAAAATTAATAAACATTATTATCAATTATATAATTTAAGGTGAAAAAAATATCATTTTACATATAATTAATTATGATATTTTACGTTGTCAAAACATAACAAATTTTCCGCGTTCTTATTGATAAACACAATATCTTCTCTTTTTTTTTTTTCTTACGGTGTCTTCCTTCTTTTTGGGTTTGTTAAAAAAAATATCAAAAGAAAAGAAAAGATCCAAACACTGCCTTAATACTCACGGTAAAACAACCATAACTGTTCCGATGAAGCTTCCCTGGTCCAAGCTTCTGAACTTATTCTCTTCTTTTAGTTAGTGTCTTGCAACACGGCATACGACAACAACCAAAATCCAAACCATGAAATCTCGCCTCCAACCCCCACAATAATCTTTCTCACACCATCCTCTGTCCCATAAATCCTAATAAACAATTCCAAACACAAAAATCTTTCTCTCTCTTCGTTTGCTTTACAAGAAAGAAAACAAGATAACGTGCTCACTCGTCCACACGAACAGAGTCAAGTCAATGCAGCTGTTATCTCCCCGTGGATCTGAGTCTTTTCTTTCTGAATTTTGCTCTATGGTTGATGTAAATGCATTTTCTTTTCTGGGTGTTTATTTTCTTTTTCTTTCTTTGCTTCTCCCCTTGGTGGGTCTTATTCAATTCTTGATTTTGAGCAGAGGGCTAAGGGGAGACAATTGTGTTTGTTGATCAATGCTGAGAACAGACATCCTGGGAATTCAGGTACATAAATTTTCCGTGACAGTTTATGTCTTTTCCTTGAGTTTGTGAATGTTCACTTGCTAATTATCATTATTATTTTAATGGATCATACTTTTTTAATAAAGAGAAAAGAAACAGAGGAAAAAGGAGATTAGGAGAAGTCATTTCTCGTTAAAGCTAGTTTTAAAGATCTATTTGTTGTTTCTTTTATGTTTCAATTATGAGGGCAACTGATTTACTTTTTGCTTCTCTTTCTGTCTCTCTCTCTCTCTCTCTCTTTTTTTTTTTTTCTGGGACAGGGCTGGATGGATGTTGTTTTTGTCTGTTTTAGATAACTGTTGAAGAGACAGATTGGTGAATCTCAGTCCATGTAAGAATTTCATAACAATTATTTTGGTATTAGTAGTTGGATTTTTGTTATTGGATTATCTGTATTCATCTTTTCAATGTAGTGATATTTTTGTTTTAGTTCTTACAGAATATGTATAGATCATTTGTCACATGTGACGATCCGAAAGGGATTGTAGAATGTGGAAGAATAAGAAGATACAAAAGTCGTCCAGAAAGAATGGAGCCTAAGATAGAAAGAGGAGAATCAAAGAAGAAAGCAAACGCGTCTTTGCCGCGTAAGATGGAGAAAGAAGAGATGGTTTCTAAAGGTAGATTAGAAGAATACCGTTCTCCTTCTTCCTTTGAGCTGTTGCAGGTCTCCAGAGGAGCTCAGAAGCTGAATCAGGTAATTGATTCATGGTCCAAGGGGAACAGATATGATGGGAATTCTGAAGATATGGCGAAGAATTTGTTAAAAGGAGCTCTTAATTTGCAAGAGTCTTTGCATATGCTTGGGAGACTGCAAGAAGCATCTCAGTGTCTGTCTGGGTTGAAGAAGGAGAAGGGAAAATCTAATGGATTAAGGATGAGTGAAGTGACTGAAATTGTGGATTCCCGTTCTATTAGATCTGAGGAGAATTACCATATGGGGTTTCAGAATCCGCAGCTTTCTGCTGATGGTTCCTTGAGAGATTCCATTGAAGAGCTTAAGAAGGTGATAAGAGAAAGCCTAGCTCAGCAGAATCTAGCGCCAGGCATAAATACTGAAGAAAGTGCCTACTTCAGGTTCAGGGGAAGAAACCCGGATTCAGCTTTGGATATCCCCTCCACGAGCTCAAGCCAGTCTTCGATGGTTCAAACCAGCAACTTTAGTTACACTAACTCACCCATTTCATCAACAACTTCAGAGAAGAAGGCAAAGGGATTGAATTTGGTTGCAAAACTTATGGGTTTAGAGGAATTTCCTTTAAAACCATTGCAGACCGCCTCCAAACAGCTAGAGAGCGAGAAGATTTTCAATCAGCAGAGGCCTGCCTTTGATATGGATATGCCAAGGGCAAGGAAGCCTCCATTTCTAGTTCAAAAGAAAGGTTCTGAGCAAAGGTCGCTACAGGAGATTCTTGAAACTATGCATTTTAAAGGCCTTTTAAAAAAAAATTCCTTCAAAGAGCCCAGTTCTCATTCCCATGATCCCTTTTGCAGACAGAGGTTGCTCAACAATAGCACGCCTATTGTCCTCATAACCCCTCTACGTGATCCATGGTCACAAGTACAGAAGCCTTCTGTACCTGCTTCTGGGGAGGAGAGAGCCCTGAACAAGGAAACTATGCTCAAGAAACAGAGAGCTAAAACGGAGATTCCAACCGGAATAATTAACTGCGAAGAAGGGGGTTCAAACTCTGACAGATTGAGTAGCAGAGAGGTAGCTGAAGAGGCTCTGACAAAGGGGCTCAGCCAAGCAAGAGTTAAAGACAGCAGAATGACAAGGACTAGATTGGATGAACATGAAGTTCAGACCAGACAGAAGTTTTCAAGTCAAATGAAAACTTCTGGTTCAGTAACTCAGCATCCTGAGAAGAAACAGGTGATTGAAAAGAAATCTGCGAAGGTTCAGAAGCTTGGAACAACTAGCGGGAAGCCAGTGGAGAAAGATATTATAAAAGCCAAAACTTTTTCAAGATATCAAGAACAAGCTAAGGTGACCACCATAAAGCCCTGTAAACTTGGAAATGGCCTCAATGTTACAAAGAAGAGAAATTCTTGGACACCAAGTACTGCCTCAAACTCCATCTCAACTGGCAGAACACAAGCTATTGTTCATGGTAACAGTGAAAAGAAAAAGAGTCCAGCGAAAAAGGAAAAGCCAGTTAGCAAGCCTAAAGCAGCTAAAGTGAATGTGAGTCTTCCTTACAACTTTTCTAAAAGATGCAATACTATTGATTATTGAACATTCTTTTTGCATTTAAGGTAGTCCTTTGGGTTTATATTTTGCTATCAGCTGTCACTTCACTAAACACTTGTTGAAGTGTGGGAAGTGGTGCTAATGTTGATTTTGCTACACATTGAGCTGTGAGAGAAAGATTTGAAATTGGGGTGTACTCTATTCTCTTTGCAGACACAGAATTTAGGACATGAAGGAGATGACAAGAGGATTAATCTTACAACAGAACATGAGTCCGTTTTAGTTGAAGAAGGAACTAAGGCTGCAGCTCAAAAGTCTACGGAGGGAACAGAATCCCCTGAAAATCAAATTGGAGGTATTCCTCTTTCCTAAATTCTATTGATTAGTTTACTAAACTAAATATGATGACTAAGGTGACACGAATTGGTTCAAATTTACTAGCATCCGAGAATCTGTATATTATGAGTAGAATGAAGATGTTTATCTGACTTGTTATCTGTTTTCTATTGTAGAGCACTGCAATGATGACCAGAGTTCTATTTCTGAAATTATGCCACTGACTACTGAAAGTGAGAGTGAGACTAAATCTAGCGAAGTTGATGATCAGCTCAGTCTACACAAAATAGATGGTAAAAGCTTCACAAGTGGAAGCACACTAGAAGCTTTGCTTTTGAGCAATCCAGAATTTCTAAGTCATGCAAAGGAGCTCTTTGATCTTAATATGAATGCTCCTAACACCATACAGATACATAGAACCACTGATTCTACAGATACTCAAGAAAGACTATCGCATGATGGTGCAAATGAAATTATTCAATGCAGAGGAGATTCTCAAATGACCCATCCCTTGTCACCCAACCTGGTTAGATTGATGAGAATACACATCTCACCAGATCAATTATTGGATGAGGTGTGTTATGGGATTGAGATGCTGAAATGCTATTCTGAACTAGCCAGTAAGAACAATCCTACAGATAACCTTCATGCACTGTTGGAAAGAGATATAAAGCACAAAGAGGTGTCAACTGGAATGTGGGATTTGGGTTGGAGGAACGGATTTTCAATGGATGACATAGCGCATATTGTGAATGACATAGAGACACGACTGCTAACCACATTAGTTGAGGAGATAGTTGCATAAAGTTCTGCTTCAGTAAATTATTTTGTGGTTCTACTGATATGAAGATTCGTTCAAGAAGTAGGTGTTACAATCTTCAGTACATTAGCATACTTCTGGTTTTCATAATTGTAAGTGAATGCTAGAATAGTTAGTTGAGGCCTCGTTGTTATTTTGAGCACCAAGATTAACTAGAAAGGTCTGATGAACAAGTAGGATTGAGATTTGAGAGTTACATTCCAAATGTGAAATTATTTGCCTAGTACTAAACATGTAAACAAAATTTCTGATGCACATATTGGTTAAGACCAGGCAGCTAGGTGTATTGAGAAGTGTTGGATGTAAAAGGAAATTTGTGTATAAGAGAACCTTTCCTTTTTGTTTTCTCTTCACTCATATCTTTTTCCTTTCAGTCAAAGGAAGCAAAAGACAGGACAGCCTCATCAGACATGATTTATTATGTATGAGGTCAACAAAAATGTTAGATATTATAAACTATACTACAATGATTTTAATAATCAGAGGATCAAATATCAATGAATACAACAAGAGTAAGGTTCCTTGTATGTCTCTGCCCCATCCTGACGCCCACTGAAACCGGAAACCATGAACCTCCAAAACCAATAATTCTATTCTTTATGATTCAGCTACTAGAACCCAATCCTTTATGCCTCAGTTTTAAAATTGCAGGTGGATAAAGTAATGGCAACAACTCAAGGCTCAGTCATGCATCTACAATTAGTTCAATATTCATTACGTTGTGTAGCACCAAAAAAAGGCTGCTGGGCACAAATGAACAGAAAATAGTTATAACATGATTGAATTATTCTGGTTGCACACGTCTTAGATGAAAGCAACCCTCCTATCCTGTTTTTCCTGAGTTGCAGACAAAAAGATAAGGTCAACACCAATCAAGTCTACTAACTTGTGCACAAATCCTGTTGGCAGAAAATCTTGACATAAGTGATCATACCAGGATGATAAAGTCTGCAATTTGTGATGTCTTCTTTCTGAGTTTCTATCTTCCCAAATGGCTGGTTCATGGTAGCATCAAGAAGAAGCTCCTTTGAAGACCAGGAAGTGGAGGGTTTCTAAAGCAAAATTAATAAACGAAAATGCCTTATGTATGAGTGAAGAAACTACCAAACTTGATCCCACCACACACTGCGATCCACCCCCCATATCTCTTATCAAATTCCTGCAGATTCAGAAAGCCCACCAATCCCACAAATGAATATGCATCTGAACTACGCCAAAAAGTTGATTTTGTTTGAAGGAAAGTGCAAAGCTGATAAAAAGGGTACTAAGTAAAGACAGAAAAGGTGTACCCTTTTTCTGTGGGCAGCAATGTGGATATGCAATCAGAAAACATCATAGAGATTAAGTGCTTGAGAAGGAGAGAAGCCATGGTTTGGTTCTCATCTTCATTGGTTTGTCTGTTTCTTTTATCATAGCTTTCCCTTCCAACATCTCTCGCTAGAACTAGAAAAATATCGAAAGGGATTATTTCTCTCTTTCTCTGGAAGAGGATTTCCACGGGAAATGGAATTGGTATAATTTTTTTATCTCATTTTTTTTTACATTTTGATTGTCATTTTATTAATTATCTTAATTCATTGAAATTCATAATATTAAATGTATTTATTCATTTAATGACACGTAAAAATTATAAAAAAATAAAAATAAAAAGATTATCCCAATAACAATACCCAAATTACCACAACCTTATCCCAAAGCTAGTTCATTAAGTTCGTGTATCCGGGTCTTTCAAGTATGTATTCCACTTATTCCCATGACAGTTTTTTAACATGGGGTTCCTATCGCAAGATTCACAACTCCTTAGTAAACCACCTTTCTCAATTATCTCTCCTGCTCACTCAAGCTCCCTTGTGAGACTTCCATATACATTCTAAGGACACCTGCCTCTTGTAAATCCCCAATATTCCTCAATGCTCAAAAAAATATGAATTAACTTAATGCATGTTTGGTTT